CTCGTAACGTCTCGCCAATCTGAGACCTCACCCCTCACACTGACTCGTTGTCTCCTGTTACTTAGGTATTCCTGTATCCAACGGAGTGTGTGTGTGTGTGTGTGTGTGTGTGTGTGTGTGTGTGTGTGTGTGTGTGTGTGTGTGTGTGTGTGTGGTGTGTGTGTGTGTGTGTGTGTGTGTGCGTGTGTGCGTGTGTGCGTGTGTGCGTGTGTGTGTGTGTGTGCGTGTGTATGTACTCACCTAGTTGTGTTTTGCGGGGGTTGAGCTCTGGCTCTTTTGTCCCGCCTCTCAACCGTCAATCAACAGGTGTACAGATGTATGTGTGTGTGTGTGTGTGTGTGTGTGTGTGTGTGTGTGTGTGTGTGTGTGTGTGTGTGTGTGTGTGTGTGTGTGTGTGTGTGTGTGTGTCTGTCTGAGGCAGCAAGCGGTGTAGGGAAGAATGGGGGGGAGGGGGAGGTAGGAGCAGGACTGCTGGCAAACCACTCTCTCCCCCCCCCCCCCCTACACACACACACACCCCCCACCTGCTGACACCATCAGTTCAATAACGAAGCGTCTCATGCAAGCCACCAACCCAAACAGACGACTGAAATGGATATATATAGCACACAACCTCTTACTAGGGAAAACAAGGCCCGTATAAAATAAAGACGGCGAGATGGAAATTATGAAAATATTCGCTTCATTTCATTTATTATATAATGAATACAAAAAAAAATTAAGAAGGCAAACATGAATTATGAAACAGCCTGAAGGAAGAAAACGTAAAATCTTAAGATGTTCTCCTGCTGAATCAGCGGAAGGATCTTAAGATGTTCTCCTGCTGAATCAGCGGAAGGATCTTAAGATGTTCTCCTGCTGAATCAGCGGAAGGATCTTAAGATGTTCTCCTGCTGAATCAGCGGAAGGATCTTAAGATGTTCTCCTGCTGAATCAGCGGAAGGATCTTAAGATGTTCTCCTGCTGAACCAGCGGAAGGATCTTAAGATGTTCTCCTGCTGAACCAGCGGAAGGAACACAAATTGGCGATGACACACGATAAAACAAATGGAATTAAGAGTGTTTTAAGTCGGGTCTATACTATCTTGAGGTTATCTTGAGATGATTTCGGGGCTTTAGTGTCCCCGCGGCCCGGTCCTCGACCAGGCCTCCACCCCCAGGAAACAGCCCGTGACAGCTGACTAACTCCCAGGTACCTATTTACTGCTAGGTAACAGGGCATTCAGGGTGAAAGAAACTTTGCCCAATTGTTTCTTCTGCCTCGTGCGGGAATCGAACCCGCGCCACAGAATTACGAGTCCTGCGCGCTATCCACCAGGCTACGAGGCCCCCTCGTACTAGACAAAACCCCTAATATATACCTCAAGATACAATTCACTGAGTAATCCTCCCCCCCCCCCCCCCAAAAAAAAAATAAAGTAAGCCTCCAGCGATCAGGACTAAAAGACTGTATAGCAAAGACAAATTAAAGTCAAATATTCGCTGGATTCCTAAAGGAATGTAGAGAAGGGCTTAGCGTACCCCTGGCAAGGACCCCCAAGTATAAGCATTAAGAGTTGGGCACCGAGCCAGAATCCTGGTGGATTGCCAATAGAGTAGCAATTATTTCTAACATTGACAGATCACTGGACTTAAAACGATCGCCAAAGCGTTTTAACGTCAGGTTGGGGGAAAACTATTTGAAGCAATAACTATAAAAGCCATTAAAAAAAGCAAACTTAATACACATATTTACTGGAAGCACATATCCGCCTTAGATACATATCTCTCTAGCACACATCTCGAACTAGCTCAGTAGTAGAGGAAGGCTGTGAGACACATAAGGCACCTGTTGCCTCTTTAGTGGGGTGGGGGGGGGGGAAGGGAGGAACTCGGCCTCTCTTGTGTACCTTTCATCTATCTGTCCTGCAGAAGTGCAACAATGCAAGTACGCTGGTAAATATTTTCATTGGTGTGTGTGTGTGTGTAATTACCTAAGTATAGTTACAGGATGAGAGCTACGCTCGTGGTGTCCCGTCTTCCCAGCACTCTTTGTCATATAACGCTTTGAAACTAAGTGAGTGAGTGAGTGTGTGTGTGTGTGTGTGTGTGTATGTGTGTGTGTGTGTGCGTGTGTACTCATCTATTTGTGCTTGCAGGGGGTTGAGCTTTGGCTCTTTGGTCCCGCCTCCCAACTGTGTGTGTGTGTGTGTGTGTGTGTGTGTGTGTGTGTGTGTGTATACACACACTCCCCACAACAGATGGCGAAAACAGGCCAAGACGGAACATCTCCAGGGTACACTAGGCCATCTGTTCACCATACCTTAAAACGTCTCTCAAGCATCACCAGGCTTCCGTAAGCCGCGCCAATATTGTCTCGTTGTTGACCTTCAAACACCCACGACCCGAGATGAGGTCATGGAAGCTGCGGATGTCTACTAGGCACGACCATCACCGCACAAGAGGAGGATCTATGGCAGAAACTTGGCGCCGCGGCCCACGGTGCAAGGTCTCGGTATGTGGCCGTGTGGGGGTCCATATACATACGTCGTACTTAATAGCCAGAGTTGCTTACAAGGTATCCGGAGAAAGCGCTAAGCCAGTCTGGCTACACTGCGCTTTTTAGGGAGATGAGGGCAGGAGACCCGAAACGCTGCGCGTACTAGTGGCTTTACATGAGTGCAATTACTGTACTATGCTATGTATTCTCACAAATCCAATGTACCTTCTTGTATATAAATAAATAAATAAATCAGTGTACAACCACGTGATACATCGGGGGGTCGAACGCCGACTTGAAAAGGAACAACGCCGTCGAAATGTGGAATTGCAGAATGTGTCCTGTCCTTCCCCTGTCGCCTTCTTTCCTGTCTATACCCACCAGCCCATCCTGTCTACCCTCA